CTCAAAAGAAAAAAAAAAAAAGATCAGGAGGATCAATTTCTGTGTTTATTCAAAAAACTGTCATCATTAGTTCTATGGGGAAGTTGGGCCGATTTCAGATGAATTTTTTTGTCTTCATCTAGTCAAACCATACTTGCCAAGGTTGGACCAAATTCTTCTGCTAAGGTCTATTTATTTTGTCCAATCAACCTAAAAATCTCTCTCTCCCCTTCATTTTTTGATTTCTCTTATTGACCTTTCCCCATTTCGGTGACATGTTTCTCCTTTTTAATTTAGATATCTTTTGGATAATCCTGATGTTGTCAGAGGAAAATCTGTATTAGATCTTGGGAGTGGATGTGGAGCCACAGCTATTGCTGCTAGGATGAGCGGGGCATCAAGGATCTTGGCCAACGACATAGATCCCAGTAAGGATTCATATTTTAAAATATTCATTCATTTATTTTTTGGGGTTGGAGTCTCACTTTTGTTGCCCAGACTGAAGTGCAGTGGCACGCTCACAGCTACCGCAGCCTCGACCTGCCGGGCTCAGGCAGTCCTTCTGCCTCAGCCTTCCAAGTAGCTAGAACTACAGGCATGTGCTACCACGCCCAGCTAATTTTTTCATTTATTGTAGAGATGAGTTGCCCAGGCTGGTCTCGAACCCATGGGCTCAGGCTATCTTCTCAGCTTGGCTTCCCAAAGTGCTGGGATTATAGGTGTGAGCCATTGCCCCCCAGCCAACGTATTTAAAACTCTTTTTTTCTTCCAGGATAAATATATATGCATGCCTTAATGTGATAGATCATTGTCATGTGTATTTTGTAATCTGATATTGTGACTTTATGTTCAGTGGGACATTATCTGTGGGAATGCTCTAAGGCCTGAGTGGATGGTGCATTTTTTCCCCAAGAGGATTCATATTTGTGTCTGCCAGACATCCTGGAGGAATACCAACCTGGAAGCACTTATGTTCATTTATGGGCTTGGAATATGTAATATTCCTGAAATATGTAAATAATGTTTATTTGGCCCCAAACACAAGTAAGGATAGGCCTGTGCCTTTAGGGGAGATTTTTACTCCATTAGTACCCGAATAGAAGCAGGTACATTTTATTTTATCTGATTTTCTTCTAAGTCTACCCTGTCATTGGGGATATAGCCTTGAAGATCTTTATTTTATGCTAGTGTCTTAGTTCTTATTTGCTGCTGTGATCAAGCCCAAGCCTTGTCTCCTCAGTAAAAAACCAAACCTCTTGGTTACTGAGATCAGCAAATGTTCCTAAAATCCCGACATTTCTAAGTGTTTTATTTTCAGTATATCCAGTCATATATTTGGAAATTGCAGTATAGCTTATGTTAGCATAAACTTTAGGCTTCTTCTTTTTTTTTTTGAGTTGGAGTCTCACTCTGTTGCCTAGGCTGGAGTGCAGTGGCACGCTCCCGGCCACCGCAACCTCTGCTGCTGGGCTCAGGCGATCCTTCCATCTCAGTCTTCCAAGTAGCTGGAACTACAGGCATGCGCCACCATGCCCAGCTAACTTTTTATTTTTATTGTAGAGACGAGGTCTCGCCAAGTTTCCTGGGCTGGTCTCGAACCCGCGGGCTCAGGCAATCCACTCGTCTCAGCCTCCCAAAGTGCTGGGAGCTTAGGCTGAGCCAACGAGGCCGGCCAACTTTAGGCTTCTTTACCTTAAAAAGCAAAACAAAGCAAGACCAAAAACCAACTTTCAACAAAAAGGAAAAAAGCATCTTGTTAGAGTTTCTAAATTTAAAAAATGAATCAATAGGGAATAGTAGCCTCACATATGCCATTTCATTTTGTGCTTTTTTGAAGTTGCAGGAGTCGCTATTACACTAAATTGTGAGTTGAACCAGTTGAAACCATTTTCCATTTTAACCAAGAACATTTTGAATTTGGAACAAGAGAATTGGGACCTGGTTGTTCTTGGAGATATGTTTTACGATGAAAGCCTTGCAGATAGTCTTCATCAGTGGCTGAAGAATTGCTCCCAGACCTACGGGACCCGGGTATTGATTGGCGACCCTGGGCGGCCCCAGTTCAGTGGACACAGCATTCAGCACCAGCTGAGCAAAGTGGTGGAGTACGTGCTTCCAGAGCCCACCAGGCAGGAAAACAATGGACTGACGACAAGCACAGTGTGGGACTTTCAGCCTTGAGTTGTCAACGTGCTTCCAAGTATGGGTCAGGCTCCGCGGCTCAGCCTGTAATCCCAGCGCTTTGGGAGGCCGAGTTGAAGGGATTGCCTGAGCCCACGGGTTCGAGACCAGCCTGGGCAACTTGGCGAGACCTCGTCTCTACAGTAAATACAAAATTAACCAGGCATGGTAGTGTGCGCCTGTAGTTCCAGCTGCTTGGAAGCTTGAGGCAGAAGGATCTCCTGAGCCCAGCAGGTTAACGCTGGGGTGGCCGTGATCATGCCACTGCACTCCAGTCTGGATGACAGAGGGAGATACCAACTCAAAACACAAAACAAACAAAAACAAAGTGCTTCCAAGTATGAATATAGTTATGTTTGAATTTAACCCTAAGTTCTATCTATAGGGGATACTCTCCAGTTAAAGAATGTATTTCCTGTTAAATGGCTAATCTTGTTCTCAAAATATGAAGCTTCAAAGTCTTGTGTGCCTTTGTCATGTAACTAGTTCGCATTTCTGTGCGTGCCAATTACACAGATCTCCTTCTGCAAAGTTTTCTAGTTTTGCAGCTGAAGGAACATGATCATACAAGGCAATATTCAATGGTGGCATCATGTCATTTAAGTAGTAGAGAGGAATTAGATATTGTAGCTGACTCTATAGTTGAGGACTACTGTGATGTATCTTTGAATTAAACAAACAAAATACAAAATACAGAATACTGTATTATTATTTTCTTTTTTTTCTTTCTGTTTTTAGAGACGAGGTCTCACTATGTTGTCCAGGCTGGTCACAAATTCCTGGGCTCAAGTGATCCTCACGTCTCGGCCTCCCAAAGTGCTGGGATTACAGGCATAAGCCACTGCGCCCAGCCTTTTTTTTTTTTTTTTTTGAGTTGGAGTCTTACTCTGTTGCCCAGACTGGAGTGCAGTGGCCGCTCCCGGCCACCAC